TTTTTTGTAGTAATTTATTAAAACAATATAATTTTGAGTTTTTTTAATTTAAATTTTTTATAGGTCTGATTAACAAATATTAATATCTTAATTAATTGGCTAATTAAAATTATCAATGTGTTTATATATAGTGTTAAAATAAAGGGGTTTTTTTTTTCTAATATATAGCATAGGTTAAGAATGTATTAATTATATATTTTTATAATGAATTTTAATAGAAAGAATTGAAGTTAATTTTAAATTTATCAATTATCTAATTAATTGGAAAAAAAACCAATCCAATTAAAATCATTCATGTAGCACAAATATTAAACATGATATTTACTTTTACATTTTTCTATAAAAACTTATTATAAAAAGATGTAATGAGTGCATTTAACCTTAGAAAAATCTTAAAAGAAATGTCAACATATATATATTTTTTACTCTTATAAATCAAATGTAAAATGGTGTATTTATTACATCTTTGAACTATATTTTTAGAGTTCAGATTACACAAACTCATATCATTAACTATGTCATACCGCATTTACAACATTATTAAATGCTTTAATTATACATTTGATGAATGGGCTATTATATAGGGGTCTAGCCCTCACTTTTTCTAATTCTCTCTCCCACTTATTTTAAGATTCAAAACTAAAGATCTCTAAGTTAAGAGTATTTAAAATTTTTATTAATCAAGACACTTTCTTTTAGAGGCAAATGCTTTATTATACAGATGAAGGATTTACCATTATTGTTTAAAAAATAATTAAAAAGTAAAATAAAGGTAAGTGGCAATCTCTTTCTAATAAATAGTAAAAATAAAAAGTTTTAAATTTAAATCACATTCTATATACATGTAATTGATTAATTAATAAAAAAATTTATGTAACTCAAAATAAAAAAATAAGAAGTAAAATGAAGGTATATATGCCTTGAATTCTTACCAGTTACTTTATTACATTTGAATAAACCAAGCCTCAATACCCTAGATGTACTGCAAAGATGGTTGCTCTAGCTTTATGTTGAGCACCTTTTAATTTACTCAGATTGAAATAAACTAATTTCTTCTGAATTTTTTGCAAATCATCTTGAACCTGCACAGATTTGAGTAATATTTGATTATATTTGTGAGAGATTTCCAAATTATTATAATAATTATTACAAAAAAAGAGCCCCACTTTGGATGATGGGACTAACATTGGGGAAGCAGATGGTGGTTTGGCGGTGGAGTACTCCTGAAGAGAGCCACCGCTGACATGCCTTCTGCTTTCGAATGAAAGGTCTATCAGTTAGGCAAAATGAGGTTCATGACTACTCCAACAAATTCTTTAATTGATCTAGAGCCTATAAGCATGTATATATATATAAAGCAACCTTGGGTTGGGACTCCTCTTAGGAAGAAGACACAGTTTTTGACCTGGTTTAAACAAAATCTTTCTATTGGATAAAGGGAAAAAAATCCGAACACTTTACCTTCTACCTTAGGTTTTAGTGATTGGTGCTTATTTCCTAATCTTTGTGTTTAAAAGTCTTAAATGCACCAGACCCTTTGATTGCTTGCTCATCCTTGTTTTTGCTGTCATAATCTTTGTATGAGCAATCATGCTAAACATGAGTATGACATTCAAGTGGATTAAATTGAAATAAAAAAAAATATATTATTTTTTATTATATAATTTAAAATAAAAAAATACATTAAACATATAAATTATATAAGTTTAGAATATCCCTTATATTTTTATTACTTTCATCTTTATTCATAAAAATATATAGAGCAACCTTCGGCAACAACTACCTAGTAACACCGCCAGAGTACATAGGCTTGGGGTGAGGGTTTGTGAAAAATGTAACCCTCTTTATATATTTGTAATGAAATCAATTAAAGAATATCATTATTCCTCTTTTTTTTTTTTTTTTAAAGAATATCATTATTGGTTTACAGAGATACATGGCATGATGATTTGGAATTAG